GCCCGCATTGATCATTTAAATCTGTTTTCATATTTTTCTGAGCGAGTCCTGCGTCAAGGTGACAAAAATCTCATTCAGGTCGGCTGCAGGTTTCTGCTCTCAGTAACTGCTCCGCTCAGTAAACAAAAAAAGCCTTTAAAAACCCGATGGTGGACTACCCTAACATTATGTATGAAAAATATAATTTCCACTGACAGCTGTTATTACTTAAAGTCATCTCGCCTGATATTGCGTTCCCCCCCTTCTCTCTCATCACAGTTGCTTTCTGTCGCTGCTCCTGGTGGCGGCGGTGGTGTGGAAGATCAAACAGACGTGCTGGGCTTCACGGCGGCGAGAGGTAAGTCCATAAAACACTTCTGTTGACATGTAAAATACAGCTGACTGTGACAATGTGTAATTACCTTCCAATTACCTCTATAGAAAAAAAAAGTTCTCGGCAAATGCAAATCTGCTGCCGCTGCCGCCTCAGTTCTTCTGAAACATTTTTCAAACACGGAGGGAAATGTGCGGCAACAAGGACGGAGAAGTTTATCATCAGTTTATTATTGTGTCTGCGTCAGGTTACGTGATATTTACTTGAGATGCGTCAGATGGAAGCAACACAGGAAATAAGCTTTGACCACGAGTCCTGTAGAGCTCCTCCCTGGTTTGTGTTTGTGCTACCTTCTCTTCAGACTTAATTCAAACATATGTTTTTTGTTAGTGTCACATAGTCCAGTTTAAGGTTGGATCAACAGTTATTAAATCAGGTTTATTGTCATGTTGCTGCACATACACAGTAGTACAGGCAAGATGAGAGAGCGTTTCTTCAGGATTATTCAATCAGCAAGTTTTGCAGAATGCACGTCTGAGATAGGCAAGACACTAAACGTTCACTCTTGCTGCCTCCTGAAGGGGGCGCTGCGTCCATGCGCGCCGCCATTCGTTGAACATGGCGAACCTCTTCAGGTCCTGGTAGGTCTTCAGGGACACAAAGACACACATGATGGTGTGACGATAGTGATGCTGCCCAGAGCTAGCTGTCTGTCTGTCTGCATCCCCTCCAGCTGTATGTCCGTCTGGGATGTTGTCATGGAGCCATATTTCTGTTAAAGCAGACACGCAGAAGTCCCTCCACTCTCTGCGGGTTTCTGTCAGCAAACGTAGCTCGTCCAGCTTGTTGAGGAGGGAGCAGACATTGGAGAGTAGGAGGATGGTCCTGCTGGTCTGGAGGGGTTAGCCTTTAGCCTAGCATGGATTCCGGCTCTCTTCATCCTCCTTTGTTTACATTCATACCGTTTGTGCTTCCTTCTCTCTCGGGTAACTGCCGGCGTCGTCTCCGATCGGACTCCGTGTTGGTGTAGTATGTCCACATCACAACCGATTGCCGCAATTCCAGCACCGTTCACTGTCCTGACACCCAGCAAAGTCTCCCGGCCACGTCTGGGATAGACAAGAGACTCAAAACGTTCACTTTCGTTGTCTCCTAAAGGGGGCGCTGCGTCTATGTGCGCCGCCATCACCATGGCATGTGAGACTCTTTGAGGTGTATTGGAACATGAGCAGTAACAAAAGCTGACAATTTCCAGTCATAAAAAGAATATTTTTGTCTTTGTATTCTTATATTTTAACAAATTTGATCTGCTTGATCCGTTCAGCTTGCCCTAAGTGTCCAATAGTTGTTGGTTTATTCTTGTTCTTCTGTATGACTTCTAGTCTTTTGAAATGCAAAGACATTGCGATCATAATGGCAGCATTTAACCTCTAATTTTACATTTCATCGATTCTGTTTGGCTCTTAAATTTCTAACAATACAGACATTTTGCTGTTTTCGGTGTCTAAATCTCTCAGTGAGATCCATCAGCCACAGAATTTTATTACACTTCTGTCACAAATGTCAGAAACACATCTTTATAAATGACTCTAAAATACAAACTATTTGCACAGGAGTAAAGTTACACCAAAACTGCAAAGAAGTATGTTTCTTGTTTCCGTCTTTTTGATTTAAATTTAAAACCATCATCAGGCTCTGTTGGAAAACATTAGCCATCAAACACATGGAGGTATGCCGTCTGATTGCTCAGTTGCGACCATTAAGCCGGTAATGTCACAGGCTTGAACTGTAACACTCTCAGCTTGGTGCTAAGAACTTATGCTCCTTAGAAGCTTTCAGACCACTTGCTGAAGGAAGGTTTGTGTCTCGTAATGGCTTCAACGTCCTGCTATTTGATGTATTATTTTTACAGAATCAGATACGGTTAAAGTAAAGATGATAATTTGGATAAATAGCGGCTTTAAGGGTAGTGGACCAGTGGGAAGATGTATAAGAGAAGCAAGTGGAGATAATATGAATGACATAAGGAAAAGGGAATATCAATCATTAATATTCAGTGTTGGTGTGAAAGATGAGGTTGGAGATGAAAAAAGGGGGGCGAGAGATGAGATGATTGGCAGAAGAAATTATAAAAGAGGGTAAGAAAGATACTGTGCAGGAAATTGAGGAAGAGAGCAAAAGTATGCAAATTCGCCGCCCTTAACCCGAGCTGCATTCGGCGGCTTCTGGTTTCTGTTAAGAGCAACTGTCATTTCCATCTCTTCCCGGCGAATCCCGTCGTCTCCTTCGACGCTGTTTGATGCACAATCGCAGGAAGTTTATATCGGTGCACATCCAGCCTCATGACCTGCAGTCTGCTAATAAAGCTCTCACAATTTATTTCCCCTTTGGGGATGACATTGATAATCATAGGATCTGAATTTTATATCCTCTAATTGATAAATGAAAATAAACAAGAATGATAGCTGCCGCGACTCCGAATCATGCCTATCCAAAGAATTAAAGCCAATAAAAATTAATGCAAGCAGATGGGCTTGAGCTATTAAAATTCTGCTCACTTTTTCTGTCTGCTCTTGCCATTCATACCATCTCTTTGTCACTGTCCTTCAGCCGCCAGATAAAAACAAAAACGCAGTTAAACAAAAACGTACATAGCTTAATTTCAGTGGGTTGAAAAGTTTCGTCACGGCATGATTTTTAGTCTGTTAGAGGAAAACGATGGATTTGTTAATAGACAACACAGCAGCGGTTTATATGAATGAATTGGTTAAAGACTTAGAGTAGTTCAAGAATGTGGAGCTGATGATATAAATATGTATGAGAATAAATAGACATGTAGTTTTTGGCTCGTTTTGTAACAGGACGTGACATGTTTTTCATTCAAAAGCCTGATCCAGTCATTAAAAACAACCAAAAATCTCTCAGACGTCTCCATTTGAAACCATCCTGCACCGTAGCATCAGCTTTGGGATTTCTTTCAAGCTCCAAAGGTGAAGTTCTCACAGGCTCCAGTTCAATGAGAAGGAGCTTCAACCGGAGATCTGACCGGTCTAGAGCATAAAATTTTGATCACTTATGCAGTCCAACTCTGTGGACACAACGACCAATTTAACATTAATTTCCAAACCTTGTAGGATTTGTGGTACACGGCTTTGTAAACCTGTGAAAAAAAATAACACCCAAAGGTTCCCGTTGTGGCATTTTCAGGTGCCCTACTTTTAAAGAAGCATTATAAAGAGAAGCTGCGTGTTGGTAACCTTTTCCTGAAAGCAGTAACAGCCTAGAGGGTGTTCTCCAGTGCCGTTATCGGTACTTCAGCTTCGCGAGTAGTCTTTAACTACTTCTCGTGTGGCAAATCTCCTGGGTGCTCTTGCATAATGCCCAAATCAGTCGAATCGTTTGTAGAGATCATTACGGAACTAGTTAAGTAAAAAGGTTTTATGTGTGAAATAGGACATCCAGTGCATCACTTATGTGCTTCAAGCACTTGTGTCTGAAAGCATTTTTTAAAGCTATAAGGTCAAACAACAACTTACAGCCTGCGCACCTCTTACCGCACTCATTCTAAACTTTTCACGTTGATCCAGGCCCATTAGCACCATTTGTAACGATACCTTTTTTCCTTTATCGCACGAAAATAAGCATGTATAATTTCTTATTGCGCTTTAGAAAGTACAAATGATCCACCTGGGAAAGAAAAGAAGTCTTTTGAACAACCTTCAACTTACATCCTCTTCTTACTTTTGTTTAATACGCTCTTATTATCAGTGTCTGACAGAGTGCAGACATAATCAATCCTTCTTTTAGAGAAAAAAAAGAAAAAAAAAAAGACCAAAAAAAACAAGGTCTTCTGTCTGTAGCATTGTCTGCTCAAAAGACAATTACACAGAAGTCACTTACTTGCTTTGGCGTCGGTGTTCTGTTTGTTTTTGCCTAAAACGGGGCGTTCGAAATATTAGACTCCATTTTATCTCATGGCACATGATAGAGATGACACAGAACTATCAGTGGAGTTGTCAGTTCAAAGGTAGTAAATGGTGCAAATGCAAATTCTGTCCTTATTTTTACAACGTACAGTGCCAGAGTCTTGCTCCCATGTGCATAAATACATACAATCTGCATTTATTGGTGTCTAATTTTCCTTCATATAGACGATTTAAAATAACGTTTTATTAGATTTTGATCAGCAGTGTCGTCATCAGGTTTTAAAAGCTCTTGAGTATCATCTCAGTCAGTTTATGCATCTCATTAGCTAACAATGTATTTAAACATTAGTAAAATGTGGTTCTGTGGGTCCATAACATTGTTTTTTTTAATGCAATATCTACAGTTTTATCTTTATTGTTCATTTTTATCCAGATCATTTAAGACCAAGCCAGTGGTGGCATTCAGAATAAATTATTTGCCGCGCTGCTTCTCATAGTAAGTACTTAATGTTGTATAGAGCTTATAGCCAGGCGACTGTGTTGAGACAGAACTTGGTCCCGTATAGCGTCAGATTAAACCGATCCGGCGCTGCCAATCTTGTCTCATTGGTGAACTGATTGGCTCGTCACTGAACATTGTGTCCGGTTAATTCGAAGGAGCGTGCGAACAGCCCCCCCTGCACTTAGGAGACTTGTCCAAATGAGGGGTGGAAGGATTTGGGCTGGGGGCCATCTAAGCCTCCATCTGACATAAGGCCATGGAATGAATGAGTCTTAATGAGGCTTTCAGAAATGGCACCGACAATAATGAGACTCTGATCCAGCCAAGTGGCATATGGATGTCTGATACTGATTGAACTTTTGACTGTTTTTTTATTGGGTTTCTGGTGTGAAATCTGTCCTGGTTACTTCGGGGGTTGTGCTCGATGTAAAAAGCAATATGTTGACGTGAACAGTGATTTAAGGATTTTTGCTGGAAAGATATTTGAGTGTTTGTGTACCACCATGTGAATTAATCGGAGGACAGAACAATAAGAGCTTCCCAGAAATGGCCGACATGTTATTCCTCGCATTGACTTAATCTCACAAAGCTGATCG